CTGCCCTGGGCTAGGTCCAAATGGATGTTAGTTCCTTTCTCCATAGAGAAAATGAGAGGGAAAGTACTATAAATCACCTTGATTTCAGAACAAGTAGTCTGTTGGGTTCTAGCAAATATAAATTTTGTTTGTATTCTTTTAGGCTTATCTAATCAACTGTGTTTGGAACTGCTATAAATATATCAACAACAGAAACACACCAGAGATTGCTGTGTACCCTGCCTTTGAAGCACCTCCACAGGTGAGTGACCTTCTAATATATCAAAACTTGGCTAGCCATTATTGATTACTCCCAAGAACCTGGATCTTGACTTTCTCTTCAATGCCATGACCATGGTTTAGGGCATGAGTAACTTAAACGCACAAGATTGAGCATTTCCCTGTTGAGATCCTGGGCACATAGGTGAGAACACACCCTGCACTGCTCATCTCATCAGTGTGACGTTAGGTCTCCAAGAGTGTTGCATTTTGAGAAGTCAGAAAGCAGCAGTGTGACCCATGGCAGACTCGTAGCTTCTGGAACTTCTAAGGATGGGCGTACCATCACTTGAAGCTTGTGTTGCTTTTAGAAAACATTTATATGATCCAGAGGGGAAGCTGAGTTTCTGTGGGGCAGATGAATGCGGTGGGTCCCATGAGTATGGGAGGCTTACTGCTTGGAGCCCTCTAGGTGCTCCTGTACTATCTTCCCAGGTTTTCAACATGCGGAATATATGTGGCCCAGGTATGGTGAGCCTGTTATTCTTGGAGTCACTTAGCTTAGAATGCCACTGTTCTACATAGATGTGCCCTTTACTCCAGAAGAAATGACATACGTACCTGATCCTTTAACTATAGATTATGATGAAATTCAGGACCCAGCATCTTGTCGGAAGCTTCTTATAGCATGGTTCAGTGGGACCCTTAACCTAGATTTGCAACCCCTGGGGTGTAGTTAGCATTGGTACGTTACCAGTCACACTGGAAGGGCAGGCAGAAGCAGTGGCACATACTTCCTGTCAAGGTGTCCTGGTGGTCCCTCGGGGTCACTTCAGAAGCAGAATTCTGCCCTTCCTCCCTCCCTGGCTGTCTTGGATCAGACATCTCACCTGCATGTACATTTCCAAGTTACTAGACACCTCTTAGGAACTGCTTAGCTGATAGCTTCTTCAACTCTTCTCTGTGGGTTTGTATATCCCTATATACAATGTAAAATCTGAAGGCTGAATTATTCCAGAGAGGATTTAAAAGGAAAATTAAGTCTGATATAATTTTTATTTTTCAGTATGTTTTGCCAACCTATGAAATGGCAGTGAAGATGCCTGAAAAAGAACCACCACCTCCTTACATACCCGCCTGAAGAAGGTCTGCCTTTGTCAATAAACCCTATACCAGCTTTTTGTCTTGTTTATTTTACAGAATGCTACAATACAGGGCTTTTTAAACTTGTTTGATATAAACTACATTTTCCTTTGTTTAAGCATTTATTTTCAAACACTAACAAGCTTTTTGGACATCTATTAAAAGTCAGTTTTTTAAAAATATTATAGTTTAGTAGTTTTTGAAGACAATCTAGGTTAAGCAAGATCAAAGTGCCATTGTTTGCCTTTAATTGGGGGGTGGGAATGGGGTATTCTCTACACATTTTCTTTTTTAACTGCACTTTCTTTATATAATAGTTTGTGTTTGGGTTATTTGCTGCCCTGGATACATTCAGGAAGGCTGAATTAAATATTCAGGGAGAGTGAGTTGGGTGTAAGATCTGAAGTTTTCAGCTGTGAAAACAGGAAAAATATATAACATTTTAATTTGACTGTGGAAGATGACGGTTGCATGTTTCTAATTTGTATGTTTCCATCTTTGTGATAAGAGGCTTCAATAAATCTCTTAAAATATACTGTTGTCATTTTAAAAGATTTGTCACCCCTTTTTGTAGATAAAACCTAACATTTTCCATTACAGAAAACTCAGGTTACCAGAGTTTTTGATGCTTTGAGAATACAATGCTAGACTTTTCATTAGAGAGCATTTCTTTAATGCAGTAACTCAGAAGTATTGTTTAAAGTTGTAGGGAAGATATTATTCGAATCACAGACCAGAAATTAATATTGATGGTTTGATAGAAAAATTATATGATTAGTATAGAAGCTGTTTTTTATGTGGAGATCATTTGGTTAGGTAATGAGTTCATGAAGAACAATCCACGTTCACGCGTATCAGTTGACTTCCACAGGGGAACCAAAGGGAAAGCAGAAGCAAACTGCAGCCTGTAGACCCTATATCTAAAATTTTCTCCTGAAGATACTGCAGTTTGCATCTTGCTAAGAATGCAGCAGTGGTGGCATCACGCACATCTGCCATATAGACACATGGGTGTGTTTTACACTCTTTTAAAGGGAGACTAGAAATGCTTGGATTTTAGGGCTGTTACCACCATCACCACCAAAATAAAGAGTAAACTATATTCAGAAAAAAGGTGTTATTGCATCTGGGAGTATACCTGGTTTTAGGTAGTGGACGATAATTTACTGATACGTTTTGGTTTTAGAACATTTCAGAATCAGGGATGATGTCTGTGGGCTAGGTCTCACTTTGTTTCTGTGTAAAAACTGAAATGGAAGGTTTTTAGCTGTTGGTTTGATTTTGTAGTTCTCAGTTGAAGATACGCAGTATTTAAATATTAACCAAACTGTTATTAGCCCTTTGGCAGTGGTGGGATCACATCAGCATTTGAACATACCAGGGCCCTGCCTTCAGGGGGCTCCTTTTAGTGTTGGGAGAGGGGTAGATGCGAAGGAGTTTGTCCACTGCCTACAGCCAAGCTCAGTGGGCCCAAATGGGCATTGTTTTTCCCCTAGGGCAGAAATGATGGGCTATCACTACCTCTAATCACTACTTCATTTGAAGCAGGTTAATGTTCTATCAGAGGACACAGGCCTTAGACTTGATAGAGGACAGTCACATGTGTTAATCCCAATGATTTCTTCCAAGGAAGGGGGAAGTCGTGATAGTTAAGGAGTCGTGTTTCCAGTAGAGGGAAATGTGTTGAATATTTAACAGAATAGTTAAATATTCTGGTAAATATACCAAAATTGCCTTAAGTTATTTTTCCCCCTTCTGCTAGTTCTAAAGAAGATCTTTAGTAGATTACTTAGTATATTTGATTCTAAAATTCAGGGAAAGATAACTTCGAAAGCTAAATGTGTAAATGTTTAGTCTTGTTTTTTAAAATATGAAGCAACTTTACGTGGGTAGCTCATAAATTTCCCATTCTGACCCCCCAAGTTTGGCCCTCCCTCTGAAATTCCCACAATAATGTCTTGAGATACTGAAGCCCTCCTAAATCAGAGTCCTGTCACCCTTTCTAACTTCAGTTTTGGCTTTATCATTCAACATGGTCAACTACATAGCCTTAATCATAATTCTCTTGGCTTTCAAAACATGTTACCATCTTTTTATTCTGTTTCCTTCTATGTAGAGCCTTCTCACCTGTCTCTCCATTTGTCCATACTACTCTGTACTCTGGTTTTGGCCTTCCTGCTTCACGTTCTCCACTTTCAACACTATGAATGAGGCTGCAAAAGCTCCATAAAGTTCCAAGTCTTTCCAAGGCTTGTCAAACACTCAAGAATCCTATGCGGCCCCTGTTCCCAAAATTGAGTTCACCGGAACATGCGTTCTCCATTTCCTCATTTGATATAATGGACATGACCTTGAGGCATATGTGTGAGGTTCAATACTCAGTTCACACGCCGTGTAACCTTAAACGGAAGTTAAACTCAACCAATATATTTTGAGCATGCACTTTGTTCCAGATGTAGGGGCTGCCGTGATGGGCGAAAGAGTTAAAAGAAGAAAATCCCTGGTCTCATTTTAGCAGGGAGAGACATAATTTAAAATAAATGATATAGTTAGTAAGTTAGTGATAGAGCTATGAAAAAAAGGAAACCAGGATGAGGATTGGGGTGGGAGGGATGTCAGGAAAGGCCACACTTAGAAGGTGACATGTAGTACCTGAAGGATGAGGAAGGAAGAACGTCCAGGCAGAGGGGCCCGCTGGAGCGTGCTCGATGTGTTCAGAGAAGAGCTGGAGTAAAGTGAGTGGAGGGGAGGGAGAGTGGGAAGTGGGGGGGGGCGGCCTCGGGGGTACTGAATTGGCCGTCGTAGGTCATTGTGACTGTCTCCTCATTCTTAGTGGGATGGGAAGATGCTGGGGTTGCAAACAGATCAGAGTCCTGACAGGACTTAGAGTTCGACTTCTCCGAATCTGTTTTCTCATCTGGAGAAGGACTCTGATACCTCATAGACTTATAAATAATAAATGAGATAATTTACATGCAGACCCTAGCACCGTGCCTAGCGCATAACAAAAAAATCAGCAGATACTATAAAGGTGGGTTGTATAGGGGAGTCTGATACACCAGACTTTGGATTCAGACAGAGTTGATGTTAAATCCCAGTTCTGTCACTGATTTACCATGTGAGTGTGGCCAAGTTATTTAATCTCTGACCTTTAATTTGTACAATAACTTCCTAAGATGAAGACCGTGTATAGGGCTTGGCACAATGGTAGACTTGTAGTAAGTACTCAAAAGAATACATCTCAATATATGACATATTGAAAAATGTTAAAGTTTTTGGTAGATTCTGTAAAGGGCCATTCTCTCCTTTGATCTTTTGGCAAGTGGGCTTTTAATGAATTCGCTTTGAAGAATGATTTGTTGACTTTCCCTGCTTCCTTTCCTCTCCCACCAGGACCTATGACATAATCGCCATAACAGTTCATGTTATATTGTAACTATGTCCCTGTTAGTGAACAACTTCAAGGTGAGACCACTTTCTCTTTTTCTGTCTTAGCACAGTGATCCAAACAAAGCCGCCGGGGAGAGGGAGGGTAGTAAATGTTTACTGAATGAAACAGTTTGTCTCCACAAGTTTTATACTGCTAATAGGTTATTTTCAATATGAATTGGGTACCATCTAATGGAGGGTCTACCATACCTACATTTAAAGCTTCTTGCAATGCGAAACCAGGAGAGTTGCCTTTGATCAACTGTACATCTTTCCTCTGTTGATGTACTAATCGATCTGTTTTCCAGCCTGTGACTGATTTGTTTGCAGTCATCATGGAACTTAGTTTGTTTTAGGTCTAATTGTACCAGCCTTCCTTGTAGGCAAATGATAAGACTCCATTTACTTTCAGAGAAGGACTATGTTATAAATAAGCCCAAGAATTGTCTGAAAGAAAAAATTGTACCTTTACTTTTCTGAGGTTGCTTTGTTTTTCTGCAAAAGTCATATTTTAGTATGAGAAAGTAATTTAGAAGCAAGATGAATGTTGCCAAATAACATGGAATTCAGGTACATGAGAGAGGCCATGTGGGGCCGTTGGAATGAGCAGAAGTTCTTGAGTCAGAAGGTTGAATGACATTCAATTCCTAACTTCACCAAGCTATTATTCCCTCATCCTGGGAAATTTAACTGGAGTCTGAGCTTCAGTTTTTGTATCTGTAAAATCAAGAAGATGCAAACTCCTGACCTACACACGTCTTGGAGTTGTTCTCCGGATCAAGTGAGGTAACAGACATTCAAAGGCTGGCAACTGTAAAGCCCTGTGCAAATTTCACAAGGTGTGTGAGCAAGGAATGAGTAGAGGAAGGGCTGAAGAGGGAGAAGAAACCAGAGAAAGTAACTGCTTCTGGACTGTTAGGCGCTTTCTGTCTGTCATCACTCAGGTAGCTTGAAATCTGGACAAGTCATGAGGAAACCTAATTTACATTCCTGGCTCTCCCACCAGTTGAATGACAGTAGTAAACAACTCATTGCAAATGGACGGCCGACCAGATTCCTCCTTGCTCCGACCTTCTGAGACTCTTATTTTTGGTTAAACAGTTAAATTATCTTTTAAAGAGAAAAATAATTTAGAAAACCTACCTATGTAACCATTTAGTTACATTTCCGCTGCTCTTCCTTCCTTCCGTGGGCCACATTTCCATCTGTTCTCGTTTTTCTTCTGCCAGAGGACCTCTTTTGATGTTTTTTTTTGCAGGGTGGTTCTGTTGCTGCTGAATTCTTTTGGCCTTTGTATGTCTGAAAAGGTTTTTATTTTACCTTTATTTTCAAAAGATTTTTTTCCTGGGTATAGAATTCTAGGTTGTCGGGGTTTTTTCGTGCAATACTTTAAATATGTGCCTCCACTATCTTGTGCACATTGTCTCTTGAGAAATTCGCTGTTTTCCTTAACTTCATTTCTCCGTTGACAGCATCTTTTTTTTCCCTTCTAGTGATTAAAAGTTTTTCTCTATCACTGGCTTCGAGCACTTTGTTGATGATGTTCTTTAGTTGCACCTTTTAAAAAATGTGCAATGTACATTTAAACATATGTTCCCCTCCCCCTCCCCCCCCTCCGTGTTTCTTGTCCTTGACATTCACCAACCTTGGGTCTGTCTGTCCAAAGGTTTAGTTAATTTTGGAAATTTTTTCAGCTATTATTTCTTCAAATATCTCTTCTGTCTTCCCCTCCCTCTCTTTTGGGGATGAGGTCTGGAAAGATAAGGATAGGCTTCCTACAATGTGGTGATTTGCTCTAGGCCTTGAGAATTGAACAAGATTTGAACTGGTGGAGATGTGGGTAGAAGATTTGGTAACTTATAAAGGGATCGAGAGAGGGAAGAAGACACCAAAACTTCATGCCTGTGTGGCTGGGAAAATACTGATACCACTGGCAGAAATGGGGAATGAAGGAGAGGGGGTTTGTTAAAGAGAAAGACGGGTTCATTCTTGGACATGGTTGAGCTTGAGGTGCTTTTGTGATGTTTGAATAGGGAGTACAACAGGCTGAGTTATTAACATTCGTCTGTTGCCCAGGAGCAGCATTTAGACAAGAGACACAATTGGGAATGAACACTAGAGATGTGGTCACTGAAACCACACTGACGAACTTCCTGACAGATGGCACACGAAGGACCAAAGAAGGCCTAGTTAGTCAGACATTCCATTTCTAGCAGTTTATTCTAAGGAGAGAATAATAATTCACATCAATTCACAAAAGGAGATTCATTGAAGCACTGTTTACAATTTTAAAAGGTAGAAACTAAATGTCCCACAATGGAGAATTGGTTAAGTAAATGGAATATACAATGAAATACAGTATAGCCATTCAAAATGATATATTAGAAGACTAACCAGTAAAAATGTTCAGTATATGTTAAGTACAGAAAGTAAGTTACAAGACTGTAATATATAATGTGATCTCATTTTCAATAAAAATATGCAAATATATAAGCAGAGAAAATGCCACATAGCTTAGATTTGGGTAATAGTGTTATGGATGATCTTTATTTTCTTACTTTTGCTTATCAACATTTTCTAAATTCTCTACAGTAATATTACTTTCATAAGTAAGCAAAAAAATTTACTGTAACTTTTTAAAAGCTGACTGAGAAAAAAAATCTTGTGAATTTCCAGAATCTGTGGAATGTGGAAATCAGAAAAGGAAGTGGCAAAGGAGATAGACGTGCAGAATCAGGATTATACACCAGCCTGGTAGGTGGTGTATACACCATCTGAAGGTGGTGGCGAAATGGGGCGCCAGCCAAAAGGGAAGCTGTCTGGACTTTGAGGAGATGCCTTTGATTTGATGGTCGAGTCATTAGTGATGGCTCTTTTTTTTTTTTTTAGGCGAGGCAACCCTTAGTTGACCTCACAGATTGCAAAGACCTTGTCAGTTTATAATCCCTTATTTTTTTAAATTATTTTTTACGCCTACAGCACCTGGTCTTCCTAGGTGGTCTCCCATCCAAGCACTAAGCAGGCCCGACCCTGCTTAACTTCTGAGATCAGACGGGATCAGGCTTGTTCAGGGAGGCATGGCTGTGGATTAGTGACTGCTCTTGAGAAATGAGGAGAGAAGGAGAGAAGGTAGTCACTTCCTGGCCCAAGGTGTCTCATGACCACAGAGCCAGCCCCTCGGCCATGATCGTTCTGTACAGGGACGTGGCCCCGCCAGCATCTTCCACGCTGGGCAGCCATTTCTTGCACCTGTCCTTGCAGTGGACACACATGCAGGCCTACTGTGAGACAGTTAGAACCAAGACATTGCAGACTCCCTCAGTGTGGCAGTTGCCACCAGAGATAAAATGCAGAGTCCTGGGCCTTGTCCTAAACCATCTGAATCAGAATATCTGGGGTAGGGGCCCAGGACTCTGCCTTTTAAAAGCCTCCTGGGTGATTCTTATACACAGCCAAGCGGCAGAAACTCCGCACTAGGGCGGGCGTGTGACAGGCCTTCTCTGGGTTCCTTTTTTTTTCACAGAGTCAGGACTGAACCTGACACGTTCTGTAAATAGCACGACTGAGTGTTTTAGTCACGCATCAGTAAGTTCAGGATGTGGAAAAAATCTCTCTTGGAATCCAAGCTGACACCACGCTTTGCATGTGTCTGGGGAGCCTTTTGGAGCTGGGCAGTAGTACACAACCAGAAGGAAGGACGGGCGTGGCTCCTGGGAGTGACCGCCTGCTGGAAGAGGCTTTCGGTGAGGCTCCCCTTCTGCCTGAGCTGAGAGCGAGTGCGGCTCCCTGCTCACAGGATGCCAGGGGCAAGAACAAAAATCCCAGCTGTCGAGGCTGTCTACCTATGAAGCCGAAAAGCTGTTAGAAAATGGTTAGATCTGCCGAAGCGATGGGCCTCTTGGTGAGAGGCCGACTGGATGCAGAGACAAATAGGTTTTTGTTGAATCGAGAGAGGAGACCTCAGGGGGTACCAAGCCATCCCATTATAAAAGATGTAGAAGGGAATGGTGCTAGATCGTGTTGTGGTTCCCACCGGTTTGCTATCCCTCTCCTAAAAAGGCTTATATTCTCCACCCACTGACATTAGACTTGGCTGTGTGACTTGCTTTGGCTAATCGCACAGGAGTGGAATTGATGTAAGCCACTTCGTTGCAAAAATGTTAAGATCCGTCATCTGGTTCCGCCATCTTCTCTCTTTCCTTTGTCACTAGACCAGCGTGTCCCGGATTGGAGCCACTCTTTAAGTCTGGCTGCCAGAATGACGATGGAGAGAAGAGCAGAGCCATTTCTTTGGCACTGTCCTACCTGTAAAAACCAGTGGCGATTTCTCCTACAGTCCACCCTGCCCGTTTGCGGTCCTGCCACATCAGGGCTAATCATCAGCTCTGTTCTGTGATCTTCCATTTCCTGAGGTCTCAGCCCCACCATTGATTGGGAACCAGCACGTGGCTGGGTAGAATTTACTGGGTTTCAACAGCGAACAGCAGGCATCAGCTCCCGGAACTACCATCCAGTGGGGTCAGTTTGGATTTTCCTGGAAGTGAAGTTGCCAGGCTTAAGAAGAAGTGCTTTTAAGGTGACCGTGAGGAGTGTGGATTTCAAAAGGCAAAAGTCTGGAAGCAGGAAGACCAGATGGAGTCTGTTGAAATTCACGCTCATTGTCATGTCTTATGAGCCAGCTCACGTGTCACCTGCTTTTAGAAGCCTTCCTGGTGTTCTCAGGCAGAGCCGGCCGCTCTTTCCTAAAGTCACCATTCCCTTAGGCTGGTCCACTATTGATTCTTCTTTCTGTCCCAGTAGACTGAGTTCCTGGAGGGTCTCCTGGGCAGCCTCCAGCCCTGTGCTGCCCTGACCACACTTCCGGAGAGGAAATGGGATGTAGGGAGAGAGCCTCTGAAGCCTGGGTGGGTACAGGCTGTCTTTCCAGCTAGCAGGGGGCTCTTTGGGAAATGTATGTTTGACTTTTTATTCCCGGTAATATAAGTTCAAATGTTTACGGATGTTTGAAGCAGGGATGAAAGAAAGCATTGCTATTCATGCTGCTAGAATCTGAGGTGGTTTTTAAAATTTGTTTTCTTTTAACCGAGAACACACAGCAAAACTTGGGTTACTTGACTGGGTGAATGAATGCAGTGTGAGGAGCAGGGTGAAACCTCGAGGCGGGCAGAACTGGCCAGAGCGGGAAGGCAGAGCCGGGGCTTTGTCGCTAGGACCCTGGGGAAGGGCCAAAGGCGCCCGGGGGGTCGGGCCGGGGTAGGAGCCGGGGTGGAGGCTCCGGAGGGCTGCGGCCCGGGACGGACCCCGCCGGGGATTGGAGAAAAGCGGAGCCGGGCCAGGAGGCGCCGGG